TTTACATCATGCAAGTTACATCCCATAATTAATTTCAATCATATGAAAAACACAAAGAGGTAACCATGCCCCCTTAAAAGAAGATGCATTTCTCAAACTGGAATTTTAAAAAAGCATCTTACTCTTCCTAGGGTTTTCAACAATAGCTTCAGTTTTGAACCAGATTCTATTTAGTTCATGCTTTTTATTATACATCTCCACAAATATCAGGGGGGTGGGGGGCATAGATAACATCTAGAGATACGGCTCTAACATTTTCAATATTTTGATTAATTTAGGGTGAAGTATACACAGCGATTTACTAGAACTCTGAGAATAGATCACACTGAATATAGAGTAGTATTACCCTAGCATAATACTAGAACAAATGTGCTACATACATCTCAACCTCATGCAAATCTGAGCATTCATAAAGCTCAATCCTGTGTAGTTTTAGTCAAAAGAATGTCCCATTGTGGTCCATGAAACAAGCTTCCAAACAGGGTTTCAGTAGGATTGAATTTAACTAATTTGATCTCAGATTTGCAGGTAATTTATAGGCAATTATTTTTTTAAAAGATCTTCCAATTAACATGCAAATGTAAGTAGTTCTGCAAGAATGATACAGAGGCAAATCTTTTACTTCTCTTCATATACATCCACTCTCTATGTATTTACCACTCCAGCATCTCAAAGGAGAAGCAGATACAATGAAGAAAAAAAAATTCCCAGACTCCATTGAAACCTAAGAAACATCAAATGGCATTAGCCTATTTTCTTCTCTAGTCTATCTTCAAGATTTCAAGATGCTATTTGTCAACTGTAGCACACAATTGCAAAGAAATAATAATTACCTCTCTTCCTATCTATAAAAATATCTCCTGCTTGGTTACCTTAAAAAATTAATATTGTTTACTGCGAGCCACTAGGAAAGCATTTCACATATCAGATCCAGACTAAATTATTTTGTTCTACAAGTCAAAAATCTAATGGCAAAAACAGAGTAGAGTTCTGCATCCTATACTATATGTATTAAATCCTCAGCCAGAAAAATGGATTCAAGATATAGACAGTTATACAATTGACTGTAAAAGGTACTGTTCAATGAAAATGTTCCACTGAAAGGAGCCATTACAAGATAGAAAATATTGCTATGATTTAACAATATGCTCATTTTATCGGGAACAAGTATGAGCTGGGTACTCCTGTCAAACTGCAAGTGGACAAATGATGCAGCAAAAAAATTGACTCTTTACATATTTATTGGGGGAAGAAAAGGTAAAAAACATCCAATGTTATTTATTCATTCATTCATTCATTCATTTAATTTGTATGGCTGCCCATCTCAGACAAATTACTCTGGGTGATGAACAATCATAAAAACAATTATAGTACAAAAATAAATATATATAGCAACCAAGAAAAATTATCCTCATAGATGTCAACATAACCAGGAAACGGTATTTCAACACACACAGGCCCTAGGCTTGGGCATATAACCAGGTCTCAAGGGCTTAAGAAAGACCAATAGGATCGGGTTTTCCTAATCTTTGAAGGGAGAATTTTCCAGAGAGCAACCACAGGGGATGCATGTTTCCTGATCTCCGCCAGCTGGTATTCCCTGGCTGACCAGTCCCGTAACAAGTCCAACCTGCCAAACCAATTTGGATGGGTAGAAACAACTGGGAGAAGATGCGCCCTCAGTCCCAAACCATGAAGGGCTTTAAAGGTGACAACCAACATCTTGAATTGCACCCAGAAACACACTGGCAACCAGTGCAGCTCATGCAGCAATGGTGTTAACATGTGTTGAATATCCAAAATCATTTACTGTACTACCTGTGCAGCTACATTTTGCATCAGTTGAAGCTTTCAAATGCTTTTCAAGGGCAGCCCTATGGAGAACACATTGCAGTAATCCAGATGAGAGGACATGATGGCCTGAATGACTGTGAGCAATTTTCACAGCTAAAGGAAACTGCCAGTCTGCACATGGTAAATCATGTATTATATGGTTCCCTCATCTTGCAATTTATTTACAATCATATTTACAATCTCATCATTCATAGTGCTTTAGGCAACTCTGTAGTTGAGTTTCTAACTGAGCTAAACAACCACTTTACTAGTCACCAAAATGCAGAGCAGTTCATTAATCTATCTAGCCTAAAACTACTGATAGTCACAGGCAATCTTTGCACAAAGATATTTTATGCAGCTATTTGGAGATATTAGAGGGTGAACTAAAGAACATCTGCATACATAACAGTTAAGAATAATGCCAAGCAACCAGATAGAGAGTATGTTGCTTTTAGTTCCAAAATTAGCATATGCAGGTAAGTTAATTAAAATATTTGGGGACAGTAATTTTATAATCTATTTAGTTCCACAAACTATTAGTTGTCAATTTGTCAATATGTCAATTTGGATATATGACATAGCTTTTTAATCGCAAAACACTGCCATTCTTTTCTGGGTCAGTCACCATTCAGGCAGAATGCTAAACTAGTTACTTAAATTAAAAAAAACAAAGCAAAAGCCTTACACGCTCATTCTTTACTTTGATCTCTGAAACCTTAATGCAAAATAAAATTATATATTGAATTTAAACTCACTACATGGAAATAAATTCTACCAAATAAGTAGATGCAGCTAATAATATTTAGATTAAAAACTTCTAAGGCCAAACCAAATTAAATATATTCAAATAAGAAAAGATAAAGATCTATTTTAATTGTTTTGTACTGTCAACAATACATAGCACTAACTAAAAAAAGTTTCTTTAAGAAATGATCATTCAACAAGTTGACCAATGTGACAGCTATCTGTTCATGTTTTCAGTCTGGCCACAGTATATGTAATTGCGGAGCCATCCTACCCTCACAATTTTCCTGAAGGCATAGAAAACCAAACTGAATTGCCTTTGAAGCTGTGTCAGATCCTATAGCAGAAAAGAGACAAATCCTCAAACAAGTATAATAACAATAATAATAATCTTTATTATCCTTATAAGAAGTGATCTGTATAGCTGTTTTTATTGTATTTCAAATGTTCAGCTCAGTTTTCAGATTAATTTGCATTTCCATTATTTCCCTAGTTCTTGCAGATTTATTCTTGGTCATTACATTACTTTATTAGTAGTTATTGTTATTTATTATTTTGTGTGGCGTAGCAAAATGCTGCATAGTGCTCTGGTGTTGTATATTTTGATACAAATTTTATATGTTGTTTCTGTGGATTCCATGCATTATACTGCAGTTTATTAATAGTGCATAACTGTGACTGCCTCAACTCTACTGACCACATATCCTATTGACAAGAAAACAAAATTATCCTGTCACAATTTTTCTCTAACCATCACAAGTCACAGTATTCTAACATTGCTTCTGCATAAAAGGAGATTACACAATTACTCTTTTCATTTTGGACATAAATCCTTCCTAAATGAAGAGTATACATGCCTGATTATTTTTTCTCCTGAGTTCGTTGGTCAAACCCCATGCTAATTCACAATCGGCATAACCACAGTTGGCTAAAGTTGATTGGTTTCTTATGCTAAGCCATAAATCGTGTTTTCAAACCACAATAAAGAGTTTTCACAATAAGCCACAATGCAGTTTGATTTTAGCAGCCAGTTTCATAAGCACATTCTGGTATTATAAAAGCCCATTAAGATTACAGGAGCCTTTTACCAAATCTGAATAACTGTCACCAAATCGGACTAACCAATATTCCAAGACTCGGGACTAAAATCTCTGAGCCTCCTTTTGTATTACCCATTTCAGTGGTGCATATGAGCCACTTGTCAAAGATGCCTAAACCGACTTGGTGAGGTTTAGGCATCTCAAGCCTACCCAGTGTAATCACAAGAAGACCGTCCAGAGCCAGGTGCTATTGGTTTAAAACGTCCAATGCTTCTCAAGCTTTTGTCTCCTCTTTCTTTCACCAAACCTAAAGTTTCAGAGGTGCCCAGTTCCTGTTTGCTCTGACCCTGGCCTACTAAACCTGCCTCAAATCTCTATAAATTCTAATATGTATATATCACAGGAGATATGGTGATCTTCGAAGATCCAACATTCCTTGCTACTCACAAGCTCCCAGCTCAACTGTGGCAGGCCAAAAAGCGTGTTACTTCAAACTAAAAGGGCACGGGGAAAAAACCGCTCTCCCCCCCCCACCCCCACACGTAGGCAATCTCGTTTCAGGATCTCTCTTCCCCGCCCTGCCCCGCCCACTCCTATGCCCGGAGCCAGAACGTATCCAGGTATTTCTCACCTGGCCTGTGCTTCATCCAGGCTCTGATCGGTGATGGCCATAATCTGCTGCAAGATGTCACCCGTGTCCTGAAGTCCGGGGGCTGCCTGGGGCTGGGGTGGGCCTGGAGGCGCTTGAAGTCTGTGGGGCGAGGGATCTCCGGCGGCCCCAGGAGGAGGAGCGAGACCCGCCAGCAGCCGGGATGCCTCTTCCATGGCCGAGGCGGGGGAGGGGGGGATACGGGCAATAGAGGGAGGGAGCCGCCTCGGGCGCGGCGGGAGGGGGACTCCGGGAGCTGCTCGAGCCCCTCCGTCTCTTTTCCCCCCTCAACGTATACACACACACAAACACACATACACACACACGACTGACACAGAACAGGCCCCACGGCTCCTCACTCGCGCCCGCTCCGCCCCCGGCCCCCGCCGCGCGACGGGGCTCCGCCTTCTCAACTGTCGCCTGGCGCAGCGGCCCAGCTCCTGGAGCTGCCCGCCCCCTTCCGGGACAAAGCCAGTCTCTCGGCGGCTTCTACACAATTGCCGCCTCCGGGAAAAAGGGGGCGGGGCTAAGAGCGGTTAACTCCCAGCTCGAGCCGAGTTCAGCCCCCCCTCCCAACCCCCCACCGCGCGTGCCCACCCGCCGTCCCGCCTGCCTTCCTAAGCTGCGTCCCGCTTTGAAAGCGAGAAAGGGGAGGGGGGGAGGGGGCAGCGGCCGTTGTGCGGCGTTCTCAGCCTCAACCGTCACAATCCCCCCCACCCCACCCCCAGGTTCCAAAGTTGAGCCTTTCCACCCCCACGCGTTCAAGAATTGATGTTTTTGTCTGGGTTACAGTTTCTTATGCAAAGGGCCAGCCTAACGACTTTAGTCACCGGACACCCAAAGCCTGGTGCCTCGGTACCTATGAGAGAATGAAACGGTTTTCCAACCGCTGCTTCTCGCATCACGACCAGCATTGTTACCTCAAGGGCTGACCCTTGACTTGACACGGCTTCGGCTTGAGGAATTAACCTCAAGGAAAGAGTCGCTTCCCGGCTGCTCCTAGTAATACACTCGGCTCAATCCGCCGACTCGACTTTTTCCTCCGACCCGATTTCATCTCTCAAGCAGGTTTTCCACTGCCTTTCGAGAGCAGTTCAGCGATTCACCTTGGTAAAATAACGACAAATGAACGTAACGTAATTAAAAACGGGGGAGAAAAGTGGAGGGCGAAATAGAAGGGGGAACAAAAGAACAAATTCCAAAACCAAACGTGTTTTTTTTTTAATATAACAAATACTCAAACTTGTAGGTAAAGACTTTTTCTCTTAAAAGAAGCCCTAGCCGTATTTTAAATATATAAATCAACGATGTCATTAAGACGAAGCTTGAAAAACACTGGCATCAAGAAAAGCAATGTTTTAGAAACACTAATATGGGGGTCATTGTTCATAACCAACTACCTGCATGATCCTAAAATAGGTTTTGGTACATTGAACTAGTTATTAAACTGGTGCCAATTAACCTAAAAACGTGGAGACATTTTGGCAGCATATTATGCTTAAGCTCCGAACTAAATGTTCTTAAAATTATGAATACAGACCTTTTTATGAGTGGAGTATCTACTATTGTACTACTAGCCTGTTCATAAAGTGATGTATCTATAAAAAATCTAATACTAGATACATTTTTCATATACAACTAGACAATATTAGGAAAAAAACATGTACAGAAAGAAAATAGATCTGGCACATTAGCATAGTAGTTATTTGCTTATATAGTAATGTCTTTAGCTTCTAATGGTAAAGAGTCACTTGAGCGTATGTAATGTTTTTTCTTTGACAACAATGTGGAATTGAGTTTTTACTTTCAGGATTTTTAAAATTCTTTTAATGTGATTTTTTTCCCCTTTTGTTAAAAGTCTTGATACATTGTATTTCAATACAGTAAAGTTTATATGACATTCAAGATTATAGTATGACATTATTTAAATAAAGTATTGAAAATATAGGGGAGAAAAAAATAAGATATTCTGTCAAAATTAGTTACAATTTGTGATATCAATATTTCAAGCATTAAAATTGTAATAACATTATTTAGCTTTTTTATTTAAAGTTAAAGGAAGGTCAGCTTCCCAGCCAAAAATCCTGCGATTTCCTGGTGGTCTTTCATCAAAGTACTAATTAGGACTAACTTTTGTTTAGCTATTTCAAGATAGGCTAAGGCTAGCCTGGTGCTGTTACCTTCTCAAATTGTACTTCTATTATATAATATACTTCTGTTAATGACAGTTATTAATATATAGTGGTTGCGTTTCTGAACAAAGATCAGCTGTGGAATTGTGACTTTTGGCCTGTTATTTTCTTTGAGACCAATATGTGTCATTAACAAGCTTGCAGCAGGCTTCAAATTGGGGACAATAGGAAGGACATACTAAAGAAAAGGAATCCTTCTGACAGCACCACATTTAAAGGAACAAGAAAATTGGAGAGAAATCCAGTCAAAATACTGTATCCTCATTCCATTTGTCTCCCTTTAACTTTAGATTTTTTCCCCCAACAATCAATATTCCACTTTGGGATCCTTCGCTCTTTTTTTTCTACCATATTTACTGAATTAAGACCAGCCTGCTAATACATCTTTTTTTATTTTTGTACCAGCATTTATGCGTGAGCCTCAGAATAAATAAAAAATAATAAGAGTCCTGCTCTGTCTGAATAAAAGGCATTTTGTTTCTCTAGCCTCCAAGCAGAATAAGAGGGCAAGAGCTGGCTACTACTAGTCTTATATCACCAATAACTAGTGTTCCGATTTTTCATCTATAGTTCTAGAAGTAATACACAACCATCAGATCTAGCAAATGCTTGGTGAATTCATGTTAGTAATCATTGTGTAATTCTTTTTCATTCTTAATTATTGATGTTCATTTAATTTTTAAAATCTCTTTTAAAACCATTAATATAGTGAGTATTAATACATTATGTACTAAATTCCATAGTTGTTTCTATGGAATTTGTTTCCTAGCTTTTTAGTCAAAAGGATTCCCAAAATCACTTATATAGGATAGTATTGTCATTATGAGTGACCACGCTGTTAGGCTAATTAACTAAAAGACACATAACACACAAGGAAGGATCCAGGAGAGGGGGAAAGTTGCAAGACACCCAATTTTAGATTATGGGCAAATGACAAACTAGATTACATACTACAAGTAGTCCTCAATTTACAATAATTTGTTTAGTGACCATTCAAAGTTACAATAGCATTGAAAAAAGTGACTTATGTTTTTCACATTTATGAACATTGCAGCATCCCCATGGTCATGTGTTCAAAATTCAGATTCAAAATTCAGCTTGAGAACTGGCATGTATTTATGATGGTTGCAGTGTTATGAGATCATGTGCTCACCTTTTGCAACCTTCTGACAAGCAAAATCAATGGGGAAGCCAAATTCATTTAAAATGTTATTAATAACTGCAGTGATTCACTTAACAACTGTGGCAAGAAAGGTTGTAAAATAGGGCAAAACTCAACAACTGTCTTGCTTAGCAACAGAAATTTTGGACTCAATTGTGGTCATAAGTTCAGGACTCCCTGTAGTCAATCATATTTAGCAGATTGTATGAATCCACCCCATGTGACTAGTTTATTATTCAATGTGGTATGAATATTTTTAAAAACTATGGTTAAATTAATCACAAATAACTAAGTTATCTTTGAAAATTACATGAAACTTCAGATGATATGAAATGTAGCAGATAAAAGTTATCACAAGCATATAGCACCAGTTCTATGAGCTCTATACAGACTCATAATACATTTCTGGATGCAGTTAAAATCTTATTTTAATCTATTAAGTCAAGTGAAGCTGATCTCTCTGATATGTTTTTCATTGGAGAAGCTATTGGTCCAGTGAAGTGATTGCCTCTATCCTATAGAACCGCCTGCCCCAAAGCCAGGCTGGGACATTCTGATGGTAAACTAAAAGTTGTTTTAAGATTAAAGGGTTTCATTAGAACTTTTTGACAATGATGGAGTGGATGCCTTTTTATTGTAGTTTGTTAGATTGGTTACGAGTTTTATGTTAATGTTAATTGTGATGTTATGGCTCATGAAGTTAGCACCAGGAATCTATTATGTGATTATAAAGGTAGACAAAAATTGCAAACAACTCATTCAGATGAGAGAAACAGTTCAAAGAGTCTAATGGAATTATTGCCACTAGTTGAGAGATGGTGAAAGATAGCTGATGTTACAGCAGAATCATGGAATTGCAAACCATACTTTCCTTTGTACTTTGTTAAAATATTTTATTAGACTAAATATATGTCTCCCTTCACAGGACAGTTTGATTTCATCAAGGAAGACAAAAAAGCATACACAGTTTCTTTATAATCTACTGCATAAAGTATTAAGAAATCTATGTAACCATACAGGGCCCCTGAGGACCAAGAAAGAGATATCAGCATTCTTGAAATAATCCCAAGGATTACAAATGTAAAAGAAGAGACCTAATATGGTAATTGAACAGATTTTAGAAAATGATATGACATTGGGCCACTGAAGGGCAGCCTTCCATACTATAAGATTATGAAGTAAGTCTTACATGTGACATATAAAAATATAGATATGTATTTATAAACACAGACTTTTTAAAGACTCACTGAAGTTTCCTGATTTTGCCTGTTCTTTAAAATATTCACTTTTTCCTATTGTAATTTTTTTTACTTTAAACTTTATTTTTACAAAATATGATGTGTTTTCTGGTCTATTTTACTTTTTGAATTATGTGTCACATTTTCTAAATGCTTCTTGAAAGTACTGGCTCATTTGCCAAAGCCTAGTCAAACGCAGGGTAAAAATACAATATTAATTGTGACTTTCCAAGTTCTCTTAGAACATTGCAACCAGATTTTTAAAAACTTTAAAATGCAAGAAAGAAAAATGATTTGATTTTTAGTAACAAATCTAATATTTTAAGATAGGACTGAAAACATTAATTCAATTCAACAGAAAAAACTATTGGGGAAAATGTAAAATTGGTTACATACATTAATAAGATTTCAAGCTGCTGATGTTTCTATGTTGAGATAGAATTTAAGTTACTTGATACAAAATATTCCTCAGTCTAATTTGTTTTCAGTAATGGGTAGCAAATTTCAGATAAAGCTGGAAAATATACTTGTCTTACAAATAGAATAAAAACATAATTTTACCAAAATATAATAAGCATCAAAATGAATTTTTATAAGGGGATGACAACAAAGTATAATTCCATTACTATAGAAGACTTAACATAAATCTTATTGCTTGTACTATAATATTTTGAGCATGCTAATATTTTAATGTTTTTCTTTATTACTTTATTTCCTTATTGTATACTATTATACTAATATACATGCAATATAATATTTGGACAAGAAAGGTAGAAATCATATCCTACAAATAATCTGCAGTAAGATATTTACAAAGATTATCAAATACAACCATTACATTCCTATGTATGATTTCTCCATGTTCTCCATTCTTTAACAGGAAAGTGCCAGTACTTACTGAGTCCAGTAAAATGTATTTTCTTGCTTACTCTCTTTTATTACTCCTTTTCATTTACAGTATCTTCAATAGATATGTTAGAACAGATCATACTATCAGCTGTGGAACTCATGCTTCTTACATTTCCACATTCCCCCCAAATTTGGGAGATCTCTCATCTAAACCACATTTTTCTAATGTCTCAATTGTATCTATTACTTGCATTTGCTTGGCACAGATATATAAGAGTTAAATGTTGCATATTTCTATGAAGTTCACTAAATTCATATTTTTAATATAAACAATATTTTTGAATTACAAGGGAACACAGTTCTATTCATTCACATTAGCCCAGGTCCAGTTATTATGGTGAGAACAGAGAAAGCTAACTGCTATAAACATGAAGGCTTGATTGATTGAGAACATTACTCGTGGTTATTGTTTTCCCTATAGATTTGAAGCTTGAGTCAGTTCAATCAATAAATGCACCAATATTAATAGGAAGGTACAGCACTCTGCCTGGAAACCAAACATTATCCTCTGCAGGGAAGCCTGGAGTGTGCTGGGAACTCACTCAGCAACTACTTCTGCTGATTCCATGAAATCTACTACATATGAATATTAACAGACCTCTAGCTCAAAAAGGTAACAGGAACTGCAGTTTTTCCACTTAGGCTACTGAAATCCTGTTAAAATAAATGAAAATGAAAATATTATTAATTAAACAAAGTAAGTGCAGGTCATATTCATATATGCTGTAAGGTCCATCAAGTCCAGATGTAGATATGGAAAATTTATGATACCTTGAAAAAAGAAAGCATTTTGAATTGTTACATGTATATGGAGTAGGAGAGAATAGCAACCATAGTTTCAAGCTAAATACATAGCTTCAGTTGTTGAATTCACTTACTAGATTTTAAACAGAACCTGTCAACTCTCCACATGTACATCACTTCATATTAAATCAACTGTAGTAGTAGCAACAGCAATAGTATTTATGAAGCAGTTGTGAATTAGATTAGAATTTGGCACAAGGTTTAGGAATGAGAATGTTTAACCAGGATGAAAGCAGGTGAGGTGGATTTTCTGTCAAATCTAAGGTTACAAAACCTTTTCAATCATATGTTTAAAGTCATTTAGTTACCTTGATAACATGCTGAAAAACTAGAGAGTACAAGGCTATCAAAAAAATCTGATGGAATAGTAATAATAGTACAGTTCAGTTGAACTGCTAAAAGTAGATGAGAATAGTACAGTGTAAAAACAGGGCTAAGCAACGAATGGTAGTGCCAGTATAATAAAGAGGGGAGGGAGAACTAACATGACTAATGGATGAATGATGGTGAACAGGTGTGTGGAGAAAATGAATGTTTGTCAATTACCAAAGAAGAGCAATAGCACTGGTTGAAGCTGTTCCTAGTAACATGTTTTGCATCTACCTGGGTGATTGATGGCTGCAGTGGACAAACTACTATGGCAAGCTGTAGAACATGTCTGCGAATCCAAAAATGGTAGCCAGAAAAATTGAACCATTCAAGTTGGTAATGCTCAAGGAAATGTATTGGTTGTTGTCAGATATCAGTGGACCACAGTTAACCTACCTATAATTTCTCATGATGGAGATGCAGCAGTTGCTAACTATAGAATTGAAAATGCATCCAACAAAAAATATTAATAAAATATAGTATTAATCAGAAATCCCAAGAAATTTCATCAACTCTTGAGACTGCAGTAAAAATCAAACTACAATAATATTGTTCTAACAACACCAATATACCCCATTGAAATTTGGAAGATAACAACATGGATAGCACACAAAAAAAATCAATATATTCCATTGGTGCTGCTTATGAAAGGTTCTTGGCATTGGCTACTTTGATTTAATAATGATATTGTGCAAAAAAGTAGCCTGCACATGCTACAGGATATTTTCATAGGCAGCTAGATATACTTTTAATAGCCACATTCAGAACTGTCCCAAGATACCTATGTACTGGATGCCACCTAAAGAGAAAAGAAAGGGAGGCAGACCTTCCAAAAAGCAGCAAAAATGCTACAGAAGATCTGCAAAACATAGGAACTGTCTGGGAAGAAATGGAAACTGGTGCAGCTGATCAAGATGGTTGGAGAGCAATCATTGCCCAAACTGCTCTACAGCACAGGCAGCTCTGGATGGACAATTCATGAGTCAGGGACTGCCTACAAGTTACCATTAAAGCATTCTATTTCTGCAACAGAAATAGAATTTGTTTCCAGAATTTTGGTTAGATGGACATACATTATGTAAAGTAATTTTATCACTCCTTTTATTTCATTTTATAATAAGGACCACTTCTTAAACTCAAAAAAGTTAATCTGCATTAGTCACCAATTTCTATCTTAAAACCAGGAAAATAGACGACATGCCAGAATGTGAACTGGGTCTTCCCAGCATATATCCTCTACTTGCAACAGTTTGTTTAGTGATCAAAGTTACAACAGCACTGAAAAAAGTTGAGTTATAATCATTTTTTACATTTACCACCATTGCAGCATCCCCATGGCCATTTGATCAAAATTCTGACACTTGACAACTGACTTATATTTATGATGGTTGCAGTATCCCTTGGTCATGTTATCACTTTTTGTGATCTTCTGACAAGCAAAGATCAATGGGGAAGCCAGAATTGCTTCACAACCATGTCGCTAAGTTGACAACTGCAGTGGTTTATTTAATAAGTGTTTTATTAGATACTAATTTCCATAATTTTCTATCTCAAATTATGAGTTTTAGTATATGTTTGGATCAGTGGTGAAATGTAAAATTTGTTACTACCGGTTCTGTGGGCGTGGCTTGGTGGATAATGTGACTTGGTGGGCGTGGCCAACTTTTTTTTTACTTTTAAAAGCATTTTTTCTACAACCTTAAGAGGTTGAAGAAAAAAATGCTTTTAAAAGCCTCTGACGATCCCAGCTGAGCCGCGCAATCATCAGAGGCTTTTTTTTTTTTACTTTTAAAAGCATTTTTTCGTCCGAAGAGGTTGTAGAAAAAATGCTTTTAAAAGTAAAAAAAAAAAAGCCTCTGATAATCGCGCAGCTCAGTTGGGCATCGGGGGGGGGTAGGGATTTTTGCTACCGGTTCTCCAAATCACCCTCCACCATCGCTACCAGATCGGGTGATCTGGTCCAAACTGGGAGCATTTCACTCCTGGTTTGGATCCTGATACTGTCCATCAAACCAAAGGTACTATATATGTTTTTTCAAAAATTCTCAAATTGGAAACTTAATGCCAGTTGTTGGTTTCCAGTTTTTAGTACTTGACAATAGGCAGGTATGATGATATAACTTCAGATTCAGAAAATTGAATTCTCCCTTGCTTATCAGTAATTGAATTTTTGATAAAGATATTCTTATAATTGAAGAACTCCATAGACATTTTCTAAACAAAGAATGTATGTTTTGAAAATATTTTCTAGAAATATAAACTGGATTTATAAATTAATCTGGGAATAATATTCATTTTTAGAGTGTTCACTTTTTCCTCAAAGGTTAAGGTTTAATAACCCCCATCAATTGATATCTGGGAGAAAAAAATTTCTATATTTTATTACATGCTACTGAATTATACCGTTTGGTATACACATATTTAGACTTTTAATGGATTTTATCACCTGCATTTAATTAGACTTATATTACAGTTATACCAAAAACATAAAGATAACACTCAGTGTGCTAATTGTCCTATTTCATTTATTAATGCTGATACAAAGATTTTAATAGCACTTTTAGGAAATAGATTACAGCAAGTGATACATTTCCCAACTAGTGTATATATTTATTTTGTACTGTTTTTAGTTGTTTTAGAATAGTTCACCACCCAAAGTCAGTTGTTTGAGATAGGCAGCTATAAGAGCAGTGGTTAGAATACAGTATTACAGGCTAACTCTGTTAACTGCTAGGAGATCTAACACTGAAGGCTAACACTGCCAGGAGTTTGATTCCTTCAATTCTAACTGGCTCAAGGTTGACTCAGCCTTCCATCCTTCCAAGATAAGTAAAAGGAGGAGCCAGATTGTTGGGGGCAATATGCTGACTCTGTAAACCGCTTAGAGAGGGCTGAAAAGCACTGTGGAATGGTCCACAAGTGCTATTGCTATTGCTATAGAATTCAAATGAAATGAAATGAATGAATAAACAAACAAATAAATAAATAAATAAAGCAAAAAGTTGAAAAGCCAAGATTGGCAGGAGTTCCTACCAGTGGGAAAAATTACCTATCCCTGCTTCACAGGGAGGCAATATCAAGTTGTGTTCAAACACAATTGAGCTAAAAGTAAAGCAACTGAGCTAACCAGTTTAATGATGATATGAGCTCATAGGGACTTGGTACCAATCTGGGAGCACTGCCAAAGCCCTATGGCCTCACTCTGTTCTGCACAAGGATCAAAACAGGGCAATATGGGCTACTCTCCAGCAGATAATAGCATTTTTAAGCAGCAACTAATAACATTTGTTTATGTACCATGGAATTGCATGTATTTTTGTAAACGATACCCCTCATTTTGCAGAGTAAAGGAATTAAATCTACTTTACTGTACTTCACTTTGCACATACTGCACAGTGAATAGATCTAATTTGTTTAGATATGACCCCAATTACAGAGTAAATACACTTTTTAGCCAGTTAAATCTAATCTCCTTTGAGTGTGAACAATAATAATATTGGAAAATCTCTGAATATATATTGGCATTAAAAAAACTCACTGGGAAATTTGAAAAAGCTTATCATTTATATGGAATTTACTTTAAACAATAGAAAATAGAGTTGATGGGATGGTGATACTGACTCATTGTGAAGGTCTTATTTTATTTTTATTGACTTTTTAAAAACAGCCATTTGTAGGGGGATAATAACAGAGTTGGAAGGGACTTCTAGTTCAACACCCTGCTCAGGAAGGAAGCCCTATACCATTTTAGACAAATGGATGTCCAATCTCTTCTTAAAAACCTCCAGTGTTGGAATACCTACAACTTCTGAGGGCAAGTTGTTCCACTAATTAATTGTTCGTCAGG